GCGGCAGTGGCCACGAGACCTTTTGTAAATATGGATATTTTGGAGTTCTAGCAATGGCCAGATTCTCCACTCAAGTCATGAGTGTCTGTGGCTGTAGCGCTCTTACTCATCCTCCGCTGGTTTAAAATACCAGTGAAGTGGCTGAGGGAGAAGCGTAGGGATCTCCTAAGCCTCCCTTTTCCCTCCACATGTGGAGGGGACAGGATTGGTTCGGAGATCACCTGGCAAATTGTAAATAATGTATGTTTTATATAAGGTGTTTGTTTTACTTTCATTTCTATTTTTATTTACTTATGTGTATATATATATTTTCTTTTTCTTTACTCTTTTGTTCTTTCTTCTTATTCTTTTGTTATTACTTTATTTATTTATATTTTTGTATATACGGTATGAATGCAATCTCTGAACTCTATTATAAGTGTCCTTAACTGTGACAAATTGTAATATTTCTGAATAAAGTGTTTTAATAAGTAAATTTTCAAAATTTCTTCCTCTAAAGTACACTTATTTTTTTATGTAAAACAATTACTCTATTCGCATTATTAACTAACATTAAAAATGGTTAAATACAATAAATGAAATAAAATGATTAGAACTAAAGGTCAAATAAGGGTTGGAAACTATACGGAAAAAGTCGAGAGCGCCCGACCTTTGTCGATCCTCTCACTTAACCATAGGTTAAACATTTTATGAAACTCTTTTAAAAAGTTCGATTCTAACAGTTTAATCGTAACATTTTAGGAAAAAAGTTCTTAAAATAAAAATACTAAAGAAATTTCTTTTTAATGTCGATTACTTTGAAAGGAAGAAATAAGCTTTACGATTGTTGTACACTGCTCTATTTTTAAAGATTGGCCACTAATAGAGGTTATTGTGGAGTCGAGTTGAAAAAATCTATATTGATGATATTTGTGGAATAGACAGTGTGAACCTTTTTTTAGAACTTAAAGAGTTTTCTAGAGGTTAAGACGGTTGCTCAAAAAACTCCCGGTTATTCGAAATTCTAAAGTATGTAAGAAAATTATTTTTGATCAATTTTCTTAATTGTTTCCTTCATATTAGTCGTATTTTCAACCAAAAATATATACAGACTCCTTTTTATCAAATTATTAACTTTCGCCTGAAACTTCATCTCATCGTAACCTACAAATATATAGTGCGAAAATTCTCGGACTGAGTTTTTTTTCAATCTATAGATCGGAAAACTTTGTCTATTTAATTAGCTAGTAAAAACTCATTAATACTTCCTTGCTGTCCACTTGAATCGTAAAATAATGTGATCACAAAATTGAAAAAAAAAAAAAAAAAAAAAAAGTGGCTTACAAAAATATCATGCCGTTTGGCATAACACCACCCCAAAAATGTCAAAATAACGAGATTATACTCGTATAGGCCAAACGTCCCAATATTTTTGTATGTCATCTTTGTTTGCTACTTCATGATCATATTATCTTACAATTAAAGTGAAAAGAAAATAGGTATTTATGAATTTTTAGTACCTAATTAAATATAAAACGTTAGCCGATCTCCAGATTGAAAACGCCCTTATTCTGAGTATTTTCGCAAATAAAATATATGTAGGTTACGAAGAGAAGAAGCTATTTCCAAATTTGCAGGCGGATGTTAATAATTTTATAAAAAAAAAAAGGGGGTCTGTACCTGGCACTAATAACTTTCATGTTACCCAACTCAATTTTCAAAATAGAGTATGATTTTTGCAGCTAAAGTATTTTAACGATAAAAGATAATACATATATTGCTTATGCGGCCAAATATGTTATAATGTGTCTAGTTTGTTAGTTAATTTGATTTCGCCCTGAATTATTACATGATGTTTGTTACAATTTACATTATGTTGAGTTGTGGGCAATTTTTAATTGGTGTATTTTATTTGATGTTAGATTGGTTCACGTTCTTCCATGTTCATGTTTTCCAGTAAACAAAAAGACTTTTCATTTTTCGAGGGCTGGCCTGTTGGACTTGTCTCTTGCCTGTCAAAACCCTCCCTCTCCCCCCCTTGGGTTTTATCTTCATCTGATTCTCTGGCTTATCCAGAGATGAGAACAACATCGCTGCGCATTCATTATTTATTAAATTGAAATGGATAATTTCCTTTAAACAAATATTGTCGGTCATTCAAGAAAACAAAGAGGTAACCTTATAATATAGAGTTTTACAATACAATACATATTGTAAAAAACATAATAAAATAATACATTTAAGCCCACAGTCCAACATAATGGAGAAACTTCCTTTTTCCAGGAAACTCTTTCAATCGGATTATGTTATTAAAACATCATACGGTTTGAGGTCAAAGGTTCGGTTATTGATTCAGGTTAGAATAAAATATTTTAAAACAGATTTAATTTGGTTATTTCAATAATTAAAGGTGGATTTCCACCTTCCTGTTCCGTACTATGTAATCTGGTTGAACTTTTTCAGGTATCAGAGAATATTCCGATTGCTTTTAATAAAATAGGATTTACAAAAATTGAACTTTTTTATAGTCGTCATTAGTAATTGCTTTAATTCATCTTATAGGGACAAATCGATGATACGCCCGGTGAACACTATTTTACACTGAATACCTACTGAACTGTTGGGTACTTGGCGCGTTTTTTTTCTTTTCCATAGACTGGCTATCCAGTCAGTCTATTTATCCAAATGATTCCCGAGGTTTTTTTTAATTTTTTTCTTAGTATCCTCGGGTGTGATACTGAGAATGTGGATGGTACGAGGATTAATTATGGGATCTCTTTTGCTAAACAGGATGCATTTTAAGAATGAGGTTATTAATTGGAAATAATGTTAATTTCCAAACAACAACAATATGCCCACTTTCGTATTTGTTTAGGGGATGTTCTATAATTTTGAGCTATTAAAAGTTATTTATTCGTTACTAAATTACTTAATGAAAAATGAACACTGTGTTCATAGTCAACTGACGGGGCTCACTGATGTTCTGTAAATGTCAGGTACAATGATGTTTCCCTGTCAAGTAAGAGATTTCCACCATTAGTTTGCCATCTCAGTGGTTTTTGTTTTGGAGTAGGTGCTTTGAAAAGTGGTTTTGTCGAGTATATGAAGCTAATGTTATGAAGTTGCAATCCTTCACTAATTCTAGGGTGGTATGTTTTAGGTCCATACGTGTTTTTTATAACGTCATGTGTCTTGTTATTTTTCTTAGCACATCGTTCTGAAACTGTTGGAGCTTATTCGCTATCGCCGGTAAAATCTTAGATAGTGCGGTGCTCCATAAATTAGGAACGATCTTAAAATAGTTTTGTATATCATTAATTTGAGGCAGTGAGATAGGTTAGGTAAAGTTAAAGCTTGTATGACATGGTCCTAACCGATTTTAATTTCTTGTTGCTGTGGGAAGTGAGTGTTAGGTCTGTTCTCGCAACCCGCTACCTTATAGACCTTAAGAATATGGTGCTTAATATGGCGCTCTTCAGAAAGGACAAAAAAATGCAGTTTGTCATATTTTGATTGAATGCAATATTTAGGCCTTACAGTTTTTTCGTGATTTTTTCACAGACCTCTCCTGTCTTAGAGTGACTCTGCTCTAATTGAATTACTGTAAATAGGAACATCATTGGCTAATGCCACTACAGTTACTTTCTTGTTGTTTGCTTCAACAGTGTAAAATGAAATCAGTACTTGGGGGCTTGAAGAAAAAAAAATCTATTGAAACATTTTTAACTTAATATATTAACGGGATTAGGTTTTAACTGTTGCTAGAAGCTCTACATGTATCTCTCGGTGTAGTATGCGTAGTCGTTCCTTTAAATCCAGTTAGAAAGGAGTACTTTTATGAAACTCAATGAAAAATAACTCCGGCCGTCTAATCCCATTGAAGAGCCACATTAGTATAGAAGAGTATAGAAGATAACGGTACCTTTTTAATTTAAAATAACGTCATTGTTTTGTAAAAGCCTCTTTGCAATCTAATTGTCTGAAAGTAGTCCGTTTTCATTGAGTTTCATAAAAGTATTCTTTTTTGAAGGAACGTTCATGTGGAGTTAGAGAAACTACTTAGCACACCATTCTGAGACTTTACGACTACGCACCATATTTGTGGAAAAACATGACTGTAGAATATGTAATATTTAAATCAACCAAAAGGAGATAAATATTAATTAAAATGCTTGGAAATATTTACAGAGTATTTATTTATTTAAAAATATTCTGTATTTTATTATAGTGTTAAAACTTCAAAATATTTGAAATATTGAAGGTATTGAGGATACATATTTAAAGGAAAAGGTAATGTGAAGTATTGTCTCATATATAATTAGTTGCAGAGTTTTGATTCAAGCAAATAGGTTTCCTTTTTAAAGCTAGAAATACAAAGAAATACCAATTCGTGAAAAACTGTTACCCCTTTTCATAACTTCAGACAACCATTAATGTCCATAAAGATTTTTTGTTTTATCTTTTCATTAACTTTACATTATTTAAATCGCGAGTTTTAATTCTTAAGACGATTGTTATTTATAAAAAAAATGTGAGCTCAACAGTAAAGTATAGGTAATACAAAAACTAAAAAATTAGGAAGTTGTTTTAACTGTTCTACAATAGATAAAAATATTAGACTAGATACAAATGTCGAAAGAAAATAACGAAACAATGACTCATAATGAGCTCAGCTTTTCTTCTTTAAATTAGTGCATGTACACTCAAAGGTTTCTTCCTTCAATGATGGTATTTGCCTATAATGACTTGAATTAATAATTTTTTATTTCTCTAGTCTTTTTAGTTATCAATGTGTTGGGAAACGACGTGCGAGAAAAGGGAACAAAAACTCGCCTAGGTTATCTTTTGGCTCTGTAAATTATTGTTCTAGGCCCTCCAATGAGCAAGTGGAATCCAGGATTCTAACGTGAATGCTGACCGCATTCATTATTTAATGAAACCGCACTTTCTTTTACGATATACTACTCAAAGTAGATTGGTCTGTGGAAATAATGGAATTAGAATAAGATTAAAATAATTTATTAAACACTACATTTAGTGGATGGTGAGGGAAGCATGGTTAACGGCTGGGACGGCAGCTCTGAGAGCGGTGGCGTAGCCTGGGGCGTAGGCGGAGTAAGCGAGGGCTGGGCGGGCGACGGCGGCGCGGAGGAGGGGGGCGGTACGGGCGGCGATGACTGGAGAGGCGACGGCTACTGGAGCGTGAGCGACGGCAACTGGGGCGGCGTGGGCGGCTGGAGCATCCTTGTGTACGTTAGCGTTGAATCCGTTGATTGGGTCAGCGGTGTAGTCCACGGTCCTGACGGAACCATCGGGTTCGGCGACGGAGTAGCTTCCAGTGACGACATCTCCGTCACGGCTCTCGGTCTGTCCCTTGGAGTCTCCAGTCAAAGCGTCGTTGACGGAGTAAGAGAAGGAGTAGGATGGGTGTGGGTCGTACTCATCAGCGACGGCTACGGCGGGGGCAGCGTGGGCGACAGCTACTGGAGCGTGAGCAACAGCTAGTGGAGCGTGAGCGACAGCAACTGGAGCGTGAGCTACGGTGGCGACTGGAGCAGCGTATGCGGCGTAGGGTCTGGCATAGGCAGCGTAGGGGCTAGCGTATGAGGCGTATGGGCTGGCGTAGGCGAGGGGCCTGGAGTAAGCCAGAGGAGACCTAGCGATCAGCTGAGCAGAAGCCACGCCGAAGACGGCGGCGATGAGGAGTACCTGGAATGGATGAGAAATTAGATTCTGTGAATTAATATTAGATAATTTTGTAGAACATAACTTAACTGTTCTCTTTTTATTATAATGTAAGAGTTTAATTGTTCTTTAAATATTTATTAATGCTGAAACAATGTTGATTAATGTATTACTTACGAGACGTGCCATGTTTGAGAACTGGTGAGAAACTGGAGCAGGGATGAGCTCCCGGTCTTTTAGACTTGCCCGATATCTTTCTGTAAGGTCGTCCCTGCCCTTTCCTGTTGCTCCGTGTACTCGTTAATCTCATTTTAGGAATCTCAGAAATTCGTGGTCTTCCTTTTTGCATCTCTTAGCCATGCAAAATAATTTGTTCCGTTGTAGGTGGATTGTGGTGTAAAGATACAGTCGTTAATAGCTTTCAAGGAACTGTTAAACAAATGTATGAATTATATTTGATTGAGCATATGTATATATATATATTTCTTTTCAGGTTAAACGAGTAAATTATGAGCAGCAGATATATTCGGTTATAGCCAAATTTTGCTAGGTTTGATAATTTTAATATTTAATATACCATTGGTGAGCAATTGTCATATGTGGCCGCCGTGAGCTATCTGCTGCCTTAGAAGCCGCATGCGGTTCGCATTAAATGTTGCGTGAATCTCATTATTATACCGCTATAATTCTTTAATATTTAATTACGTAAATTTAGTAATTACTTCAATTAAGTTGAATAAATTTGTGAAATTGGTATATGGGTAATTATAAATAAATAGCAACTGTAAAATATTGCGGCCTCCGTTATCAGTATCTGACTTTATTGTGTTCTATAATGATAAAAAGACTTAAGTTATATACAGTTCAATTCCATTCATGCGTTATTAAACCTGTTTAATCCAAGTCTTATACAATTATAAGCGTGCTCTTCAATTAATATTCAATCTTCAATTATTATTGTGTTATAAAATTTATTTTTATATATTTTATGTTTTTGAGCGTTGAACCAGCCAAACATATTTTTTTCTCGAACTGAAGATAATAATAACTCTCTAACAAAACAACTCGATTGTAAAAATGTCCCCGCATCGAAAAAAAAAAAATGAATAAAAGACTGCTGTAAAGGAATTTACCGTTAAAGATTCCTACCAGAGGAATGCAAACCTCGGTGTTTTTCTCCGAGGCATTGGAGGCTTGGATAAATGGAAGCTACGTTAGGCAGCCTGTTACAATTGAGCGATTTTTATTTTATTTTTTTTCAATCTGGAATAAGTGAGTACAAAGAGAAGCTTATTCTAATTGTGGCTTCATTTTGAAATGAATTGGGATGAATACTCAAGTCTACTGGTTAGAATCATTATTGGCCGTCATTACTAATGCAAGTTGAATATTTTTCCTTCCAAAATCAAAGAGTAAAGCTCCTATAATAGCTTCATTGGTATACCATAGAGAAAAACCTAAATCGTCTAGCGTTTTTCTTTCTTGACGTGGGAACTTTATATCTTTTTTACACCTGATTTTTCTTGTGTAAAGAAAGTTTATACACCGAAGTTATTTTGGGGGTATTTTACTTCTTATTGCAAATGTTTCAATAGTTGAAATTTTTCAGAAAAACTAATGCTCTAAAAAGGTAACTTTTTAAAAAAAAGAAAACTTTAAACCCTTTTATTAGATAATTATTCTCCTATTCTCCTATTGTTCCTCTGGGCTCAAAGCAGAGAGATATTAACCCTTTTATAAACACCTGTGACACTCTTTAAAACGAGTGACGCTTTAATCAATATATTTTCTTATCTCTTTATCGAAATTAGCCCTTGCATCTTGTTATCTCTAACAACAGTAACCCTTAAAGTTGCTTCCGGCTTAGGAAAGAAGGAGGTGGGTCATGAAAAGAAAAATAATATGTTTAAAAAATAATAAAAGGGGGTTCCACATCGTTTTAAGAGTAAAACGATGAACATTTCAATTAATTAATAACCAAGTGGTAGAAAAAGTATTTTAGAAAAAAAGTTGACGTTAATTTATGAAAAATTAAATTAGGATCTTTTTTCTAATGATATGGAGATAATTGTCCATAATACTAATATTCTAGTAATGTTTTATTACATTTTCTAAAGTTGTAGGTCTTCATCAGGGCTAACAAAAAAAAATACACATAATGAATATTAATTGGTACAAGATACAAATAACTAAGATATCAGTTAATAATAAATTTATACAGGTTATCAGATAACAGTTATAGATCCATTATAGGAGGCAGCAATTCTTACATTAGTATGACGGTATTAATTAATCTTAACGGATATATTATTTATTCGTATCTTGTACCAATCAATATTAATTGGTTGTACCTTGTTTTTTTTTTTTGTCCTGATGAAACGTTTGCTAATGTAACAAAACATAATTATAAAATATAGTATGTCCATTGAGTGCATCTCTAACTAACTTCTTCTTAAATTAGAATTCTTTTCCCCATTCATAAAAAAATATTTGAAATCCTAGTTTGAAAAAAGAAATGGAAGAATTCTTTTTTAATAGCCATATTTCTTTATTCTCCTCATTAAATAGATAGATATATTACCCAATTGTTTTAGTACATGGAGGTTGTTACGTTAACTGGAAGTTAGAAATAAGCATTTCAAATTTATTTTTCGGAGTGATATACGTAAAATTTTTACGAAACAATGAGTGATAAATATGCATCTATCAGCATATATAACAAGAAAAGAAAATTAACCGCATTCAGTCGTGATTTGATCCTATTATTGTCTTGTGCCAAAAATGTGACATGAATTTGGAAATGGTTCATTAAAACACGAGGGAAGATTTATTTGTTTAATCCAATTTTATTTTTATTTAAGAAAAAAAACAATGTGAAAGAGATTGTTACAAAAAATAGCTACCCAAACCTATTTAATTTCAATGATAGTAAAGACTGTAATAAACCGTATTTTATAAGGTTTCAACCTCTTGAAAAACCTGAAAACTATAAAAAATAATAATCCATAAAATATTATTCAATTTCCTTTCACGTAAAGATTTTCAAGAACCAGATTCAAAAAGATAATAATTTTGTCGTAATGACATCATTTTACTTATGCTTATTTAGTTGTTCAATTGATATAAATTTTATTTGTAAAATAACAAATAATATTTCTACATAACTTGACATTAATAACGTCTGGCTCAAAATTGATATTTAATTAAAAAGTGGAGGGGAATAATTATTTTCTTTCGTTCCTGAAACTTTTCTATAAATTAAAATCAACAACACACAATCAAACACAAACACTATTGATGATAAAATATCTTAAATCATTTGAGACTGCACACGAAGACTAAATTTTATTCTATTTCTATATGAAAAAAAAGTAATAAGCTAAATGGAATTTAAAGAAGAAAATATTTCGAAAATCTTTTTAAAACTTCGAATAATGGAAAAGTTACTGGGTCAATGCAAAATGCATTAGCATGCAAATTTTCAAGTTGTTTGGTTGTATCGTTTACCCTCAATGGCGAACAAGAACAACCAGAATCTAACCGGAAAAAAATCCATTTTGAAACAGTAGTATCTTGGCTCCTTCAAGATTGCAATGAAATTCTAGAAACATTCTCATTTTGAATATTGATAAACCTTTACAAAAAATTCTTCAAGAACTAATTTTTCGATAACTTTTTTATACGTTTTTTTTTACTAACGGAACGGAACGTTACCGGTTTTCTAAATAGAATGGTAACCTGTGATGAAAAATCTGACCTATCAAGTTAATGTGTTTATTAATATATGGAAGAAGAATCGAAAGTAAACTTTGGTTATTAAGGTATTCCTACTCAAACTTATCATAATCTTACTGTATGTATCTCACGTGCTGAATAGTGTTGAATATTTCTAATTATTTGTCATGAGTTGATAAAACTCAAATAAATTTATATTAAATGGGCCTGATACGGTGATAGAATTTATATATCACATCAAATTATACTTATAATTTGCAAATTCTATCATCGTATGTAAAAGTTTACATCATTTTAAATTCTAGATAATCTACGAATTCAGTGTTAAATTTAAGTCGCGTAAGTAGAAGTTTCGTTTAGCCAAAAATTTAACAGGATCAAAGTCATCAATTAGTTCAGTCATATTTTGCCGAACGCAAAAAAAAAATAAATTGGATGAGTTAATTGGGCTGTTAAATTATTATTTTAAAGATTATTTTTTTTTTTATGCGTTCTGTGATACAAGATAGAAGTAGTTCAAGTTTTCAACAGTTTTCAGTTATTTGGCACCAACTCCGAAACTATAATTAATTTAAAATATTGTTTTGTGCAAACTTTTGCAAAGGAATGCATCTTGATATCGTCATTTGCTTTTAATATCAGAACTACGGATGAATATCTATAGCAACTTGAATATTTTTATATTTCAGTTTTTCTCAAATAACTCATTACCTGAGCATTTATTTAAAAAAAAATGCAGTACGTTTGAAGTTTTACAAGCAAAAAAAAAAGAAATAGTTTCGAACTTCTATTGTGTCGTGCGGGAAGTTAGCAGCAGCAGTCTTTACAACTCAAACACTTAAAGGAGTATTTGGTCTTCCTATGCATAACTTAAACCACATTCATTTTTTACTATACTATATTTTGACCAGATTACCTATACTTATAATAGTGCTTATTTCCATTTTGTTTTTTGTTATATTTGAATTCCTTGCATTCGGTTTTTCAATTAAAATATTTTTTTTTTTTAATGCCAATTCATTGTATAATTTATCTTGAATAAATTTTCTGATATACTTATTTAAAAGATCCTGCATAACTTCCTTAAAATGCCAAAGCAACAAAATATATACGAATATATTGTATGTACTTATATTGTGATAGTTGAAGAATAAAATGGAGGATAAGAAAAAAAAAAGAAAGAGAAAACCTGCATAGTTTTAAATTTATTTCTACAAAATTAATTATCCTTATTCACACCTGTTCAAGTAATTATTAACGATCAGTGAATTCGAGATTCAAAAAGATACTTTTTTGAGACACGAATTATTAACTTGTACATTTTAAATATAAACGTTCTATGAAACCTATAACTAAAAACTTCTATGGGAAACAGTTCTAATACCGAATCAAACAAAAAAGAAATGAATAAATAAATAAAACATAAAAAGGTTACAGTCGTGCAGGAGCTAGTTCAGGATAAAATTAAACTATTCATTTCTAAGTCTTGAAAAAAACAAAATTGTACTAGGTTTTTGACACATCGTTTCAGTATTTGGTGAAAATGTACAATTTTTTTATTTAAAAAAAATAGAA